GTGGTTTTTTTTTATTGTAAGCACTGCAGTAGTGACTAGAAGTTCCACTCACAGAGCAGGACCCCATTGTGCTAGGTGCTGTATAAACACAAAACAAAAAGACCATCACTGCCCAAGAGAGGCTACAATGCAAGAGGCAACAATTGGATACAGAGATGGAAAGAAAGGAGACAGTAATGAAACACTGAGGGGTTTCCTGCATGTGAAAGTTGATCTGGAATAAGGTAGAGTTTTAATTTTATGCAAACTAGCTGTTTTGGTTTAACTGTGTGATTGCTATTATTAGTATCCATCCACACATGAAATAAATCTCCTAGCTGCTGCAGGTTAACTCCATGGCTAGGGACAGACATTCAAAAAGCCTAATTGATTCAATCTTGGCAGGTTAGTCTAACCTGGCTAAGCTAAACCAGTTTGTAACTGTACAGATATCCCCTCCAGACTAAGGAAGTGCAGAGACATGCCTGCAGTGACTCAGGCTAGAAGCAAGGGGGGTTGCTAGAGCAGCCCTCCCTTCCCTTCCACGGTGAGGTATGGCCAGGCCTGGCAGGATGCTCTGATTAGGGAAGGGCCCTCCCCCCGACTGCTTCTCTGACCAGGGCCAGCAAGGAGTTACATAGCATTTATCAGACCATCAGCAAAACAAAAGCTTCTCTCATTAGTTCAAGCTCTTTTTAAACAACTTTTTCCAAGGAAGGAATGAAGGGACATTACCAGCTAGCTGTTGATTAGCTCCAAAAAGCCTTAAGCAGACACTGTCCTGTCTGCCATACACAGACACCTCTGGGCATTAGCTGATGTACCACATGCTGGCTACGTCCATGCTGTGGGAGAGAGGAGGGAGGAATCCCTGCTTCAGCAGTGAGTGGGGGTGGGGTGGGGTGGGGTGGAGGGCCAGAGGGAAGCCAGGTAGACCCTGCTGTAACTGCAAGACTCTGCTGGAGCTCCAGCCAGGAAGCAGAAGGGTGGGGGCCAGATCTGCTGTGGAGCTGAGAGCCCCACCCACGGCTGCAAAGCATCTGGGATGCTGGGGGACTCTGGTTTAAGGTAAACCAGGAAGGGGCCTGAGACAGACATTGCATAAACTGGTTTGAGACTATTCATAGATGTTTGGGTTGCAAGGGACTGTAGCAGATCATTGAGTCTAATGCCCTGCCCTAGGCAGGAAAGAGTGCTGGGGTCAGGTGACCCCAGCCAGGTGCATGTTCAGCCTCCTCCTAAGGACCCCCAAGGTAGGAGAGAGCACCACCTCCCTTGGAAATCCATTCCAGACTCTGGCAACCCTTACTGTGAAGTAAAGTAAAATCAGTTTACTTAACTGTAAAATCAGTTTACTTAACTGTAAAAGCAGTTAAGTCTGATACTGCATTCCACCAGGTTTATCTCAAACCAGTTTCAGCCGTTTTCAAACTGGTTTATGTGCACTGAATGTCTATTCTGTTACAGGTTTAAACCAGTTTCTAATTACTTAAACCAGTTTGTGTAATGTCTTTCCCTAGCTCATATGTAGAAAAGCCCTGAGAAACAAGTCCAGGGAAAGTCCTGCAGATGAGAACTTGGGAGATGCTGGCTCCTAGTCCAGTACTTGGTCTCCTGTCCCATGCTGCCTCCCTTGCTCCTCCATTCCCTTTCTTTTGGTGGTACCTGAATAGACTTATAACTTCCCCCAAAACCTCCAAAATCTTTCTTGATTGCAAACAGAGGGAGCGAGCAGATTCCATTTGCCTGAGAAGGGGCAGGAGGGGGAACAGGTCTGTGACTTGGCTTGAGCTGCAGCAGTGTCATGCACGCAAATATCTCCTGCAGCCTTGTTTCTTGGGGATGGGGGATAGAGGGAAGCCCCATGCTGATAATGTATTGAAAGTAAATGAAATTAAATAAGCGAAGCAGTGCTTGCAGCTCTTGCCTTCCCCCCTGGGTAATTCAATTCAAGCGCTCGTGCTGATGGGATCTCACTGGGGCTGCCTCTGTCATCCCGCTGGGGCCTGGAATCTTAACGTCTAAATAAAAGTTTCACTCAAGCATTTTTTATGCTCCTGCCAGCGGGATCAGCGAGCTAGTGTTGGGCACATTAATGTAATATTCATACTTGCGGGGTCTCCCTGTGTACCAGGCAGCCTTGTCCCATTTTCATAATTATAAATGTCCCATAAAATGACATTTAGATTTGCATTAACAAAAGGGACCCGAATTCTGGATTTTTTTTTTTTTTAAACACTTAATGTGCCTTTTTACAAGTCAGATGTTTGGTAGCTCTAAAGCAAAAGCCAGATAAGAAAGATGCTGTTACCTGTGCTGCTGAAAGGAGGGCAGGCGTGCCAGATTGATAGCACCTGTGAGATGCCATGTTTTGGGGAAGTTCCAGATCCTGATCAGACCTCTGCAGTTGGCCCATATGTCAGTAATTGCCTCCTACAGCAAAACCCCAAGTCAAATGCAGGGACATGGGACTTGCCATACTGGATCAAATCAGTGATCCATATAGTCCAGCATCCTGTTTCTGATGGTGCCAAGTGCTGTGGAAGAAGGAGTGGGCAATTATAAGCTTACCTCCCCTGTCAAGAAAAATTCCCTCCCCATCCCTAATGTTCCCTGGTCCACAAGTGCCCTGAAACCTGAAGATCAATAGCCCTTTCCTTGTTCTTTCCCTAAATTTACTCTTACAGTGCTGGGGGAGAAGTGGGGGATATGCATGTCCAGTCTTGTACCCCCATCCTGGTTTATGCTTGACCTGGGCAGTCTCTTCTGGCAGTGTGTTTTACAGGCAAATGTGGAAAAACATTCCTTGCAAGCAATTTCGATTTTACCCCTGTTCAGCTTCAAGAATAAAGACCCCACTCATCTCAGCCCCACCTCAAATAGGGGTGGAATTTACACTGACCAAAGTGCTGCTCGAGCCTTTGAGCAAGGGTGTAAGTGATGCATAGGTCCCTCATAGAAGGGCAGATTTCACCCAAAAGCAGGACTCAAATTACACTTTGGCTCTTGGCAGGGTCTGTAGTGGTGGCAGCTGGAAGGAGCAACTGCTGCCTCCTGAGCTGCTTAGAAAGGCCAGGGGCTGACCAGCCTGCAGGGGTGAGTTCTCATCTCTTATGGGAGGGCTCTCAACTCTTATGGGGGGCTCAGCCCCCCCCCTTCCCAAGCTCCCCCATAGTTCAAACCCTGCCCAACAGCCACCATCATGTGACTGCCTTACACTCAACCCACAGCTTTGCCCCCAACAGAAGTCTCCTATTCCCAGTTAATAAAGAGCTCAGAGAGGGGTGCGTGTGTGGAGAAAGTTTCTACAAAAATGAACTTTGTGTGTGTGGCTGCTCTTGTGCCTGGCATTCACCCCGAGACCCATTTGTTGAGGATTTATAGCAACCCCAGAGTTTGCAAACTATAAAACACAAAAATGAAAATAGTCTGTGAACAAGGGAGCTGACAGCAGGGATAGATTGGACCGGGAGCTGGATGTTAGAAAGAGACGCTAAGAAAACAAGAGAAACCCTTCTGATCTGGGATTCTGGGAAGTTATTCATACTTAAAAGGCTGCCAAGCTTGGGCGCTGGGGAGATGATTAGTAGCATTTAGTTAGTCATTTTTTATTGTGTTTCAGTACAAATTATTATGATGTGAGACTTGCCAGGGCTTGGGGGGAGGTAGGGGAAAGGCGTTCTCAGTGGCAGTCTGTGAGCCATAGAATTCTTGAGTGAACTGGCTTTGGAGGAAAGTCTTACCAGCTTTGGCATGCAGTTCTGGGCACAACTGTGTGCTGGATGGAGCCTCTTCTCAGTAAAGCTTACAAGTTGCAAGTTTTTTGGGCTTGATGCAAGAACTGTGGGGTGAAGCTTTCTGGGGCAAGAAGTCAGACTGTATGGCCACACACATCCATCACGGCCTCTGAATAACCTGATCCAGGGCCAAGAGCCTTCAATAACATCCTCTTGATAGTGCCTGGCATGACCTGCTCTCACGTAAGCAGGTTGTGTTTCAGGGACAGTCGGGGCAAGGAGTTGTATCTTGTCAGATGGACTTAGTGTGTGTTTGTGCGTGCACGCAAGCATGCATCTGAGTACACCTTAAAAGTGCTTGAGATAGAATTGAGCAAAGAAACTGAGACTGCATGTATAAGCCTGAGGGGGCACTACTGTGGTTAAGGATGAGAGGATCCTGCAGTGAACTGCCAGGTCAGAAAGAACTTGTGCGTCTTCAGGGACCTGAAGAGCCCTCTGCTACTGTTCTTGTCCACCCTCCCTCCCTCCCACTCCTGCCAGCTTTTCATTGCTTTTTTACTAGCAAGTCTACCCTTCAGATCAGCATCTAAAATAGTACTGTTTCTCCTATGGTCCACACCTAGATTTCTGCCTCCATTGTACACAGTGGAAGTAAAAAGCCCTAGTGGAGGAAGATAGTTTGTAATCTTGATAACCTCAATAAATTCTGGCCTATGTGTAATATAAATCATAACTCTTAGAGCAGCTTTATGCAGATAAAGACTGTTTCTGTTCTAGGGGGGGAGTTAAGGTTTTGAAAAGGGTTTTGTGGTCCCCAAAAGCTGGACTATCCTGTGTGTGTAGAAATTTTGTATATGAGCATAAGCTGTGGGGGTGGTTACATTCATTGTTTGGATGTCCATTGCATGTCTGTGGTTTTGCACAATTGTGTGCTATCTGGAGGTAGGAAAACATCATGAGATTTTGCTCCATTTTCTCTAGGGTCAGAGGACAACCTACAGAAACCTACTCAAGAAGTGGAGAGCATTTTGAAGCAAGGATACTTGGAGAAGAGGTCCCGAGGTAAGTCAAACATAACTTTTTTGAAGGTGTCCTGTAATGTAGTGGGTATGGATTGATGTCTTTTGAATGAAGCTCATCAGCAAGGTATAAAGATGGAGAGTGAGAATGGAGCAGTGGTGATTTTTGGATTTTTTTTAAGAGTTGTTTTTCTACTTGTCTTTTATTTTGGAAATTCAAGGGTTGTTTCCCTTGGAAGACTCTGAAGATGACTGGAGAATTTGGTATGTTCATGAGATTGGTAACACCACTAAACAGAAAAGTGAAGAAACTTTTGTTTCAGTGATTCAACTCCTTGACTGAGTTTTCAAAAAAACACCTAAGTGGTTTATGAGTACAAATCTTTTTGGAAGTTGCTTTGACTTATGCACCAGAGTTACCTTGCTACTCTTTTGAAAATCCCACCGCTTATTCTCTGTTAATGCCTGATGCCAACAGGCTATGGCCACATAGGCATTTGGAAATGTTTCAGAAGGGGAGCTGCTGATTGGGGGCCCCACAGCAACTGTTTAATGCTTCTAGAAAAATGTAGCAAAACTCCTACAACTTTAACCTGGGATGAAATAGCAAAACAATTTCAACATTAATACGACATTTGTATGATTTCTAGCTTGTCCCCACATAACTGTTGGGAATGTAACAGTTACTGGATGGTTCTGAGCAAGAATCCTCTTCTCCTCCCCCATCCATGCACACACATTTGAAATCACTCAAAATATGCATGTACCCATACCCTCAAAAACACCTGGGAAAAATGTTCTCTTTAAGGATTTGACACAAAGGGTACGTAGCTCAAATAGAAGCAGTGCAAATTTGAGCCAGGGCTTTTTGCCTCAGCATACATGCCTGGACATGCCCTGTGGTGTGGTGCAAGTTGTGGCACTTGGGGCAAAATAACTTTGCCTGGCTCCTACCTCCTGTGGCTAAGAGGAGCTAGAGCCTGGGGCCAGCACCTGTACCTGCCCCAGCAGTGTAAAAAGTGGCCCTGTTCTGGCGCCATCAGTACAAAAAGCTTCCCTAGCAAGTAGCTCAGGGCTACTTGTTCTCAGGAGCTTCTGGGGCCCAGCCAATTGGTACCTAGGGACACTACCCCTTGTGCCAGCTGGACTGCTGAAACAGCCCTAAGAGTTCCCTGCACCTTTTACCGACTGCAGCAGTCTGGCAATGGGGGCTACTGCCTGGCTGTGATTTGTTGCCACCTGTGATAGCATGTGGCCCCAAGGCTGCATGCCTGTCAGACCCAGATAGGAAGTACACTGCCATTAGAGGCATCTGCCCCTCTGGGCCAGCTGCCAGTGGGCTGTAGCTACAGAGTTAGCCTTTGTGCGGCACTACTGCCATGTGTGCCCCTGCCCGGCCATTTGGGCAGCTATTGCCCAGAAGATGTTCCCAGTGTGGTGGCCTGCTTTGAACTGTGAGTGGCTGTGGAGGGATGTGGGGGGCCGTGGGATGTATGGATAGGTGTGGGTGGATTGGGGGGGGCTGCTGAGGAGGGATGGTTCCCCTGCCCCCCACAGGGTGCAGCCCCCCCCCATACAGCTCGTGGATTGCCCCCCCACAGGGCTGCAACCCCCCATAGGGGCCACATCCCCACCAACAGGGGCCACATAGCCCCGTGAGGTCTGACAGTTTGTGGCTGCTTGGGCTGTGTTGGGGGTGGGGGGAGGCTCTGCCATGAGGCCCCGACAGCTGCTGCTACAGCTGGTGAGTGTGGACTTTTTTTTCTTTTCTTTTTTTTTTTTTTTAAGTGCTGGGGCCAGGCAGGGTAGCCATTGGGGTAGGGGAGGGGTCTGTAGGACCAGGCAGGAGATGGGGCCAGGCAGGGCAGTGATCAGGGAGGGTTTGGGGAGCGGGTAGGGGATGGGGCCAGCAGGGGTCCCCCCCATGCTTCCCTCCCCCTTCCTCCAGCCCCCCCACCCCCTGGGTCCAACTCCTTGCAGCTGGCACACTGCCTGCCCTGTGTGGGCAGGCAGCGTGCTTCAGCACCGGGACAAGGGCCAGCCATAGAGACGCTCTGACTGGCTGCCAGACCATCTCTGTGGAGGACCTGAGCCTCTGTTGCTGCAGGGCATGGTCGGGGACCGTGCCCTGCCCCACTTCTTTTTCCCAGGGTATTTTTTGACCCCCAGGGGTCTAATTGTGCCCCCGCACTGCAAATTTGCGGTGCCAGGAACACTTTTTTGTTCCCGCACATGCCTCTTGCAGCATCTCAAAGGGCTTTGAGACACTGCAAGAGGCATGTGTACACTTGTCTGGATGGGCCCAAACTGCTCATTTCAGTCGAGTACTGAGAGAACACTTTACGCCACTGTGTATCATCCAGTTACCTCACCAGTAGATTTGGGGAAGATAAGATTTGAATATTGATAAGTCAAGATGAAGCAAGGGAAGGGAAAATGTCTGTCCTGCAGGGATTTGTGTGTGGGTGTGTAGAATTTTTCAGGCTTCCTAAATTCATTGTAAATAAGAAAGGAAGGCACAACTTATATTTATTTTCCTTTTCTGATCACTGTTCTGCACAAAGGGCAAAGCCAATAGGATGAAACGTTAATGTCATATACTCTCCAGGGAAAAGAGGTGTCCTTACCTCAGGTTTAACTCATGGCTACTAACAGAGGATGAAATCCTAGTGGAGACAGCTGGTTTCTGGTGCTTACATGTGTTAGAAAACTTAGGTAAAGATTATGGGGCCATCTAAGGTGCACCTCGATGTATGAACTCCTGTGAAAGCTGCATACTTTCACTGGTCTCCACTACAGTTGGTCCACTAGAAGATACGATCCATGAGAATCCTTGCCTCTTGCATATCTTGTTGACCATTATGGCAACACCAGCACCTCAACACTAGTGGTCTCCACTGGAATTTTACCTCATATTAGTTCTTGGTGTAGTAGGGAACATGAGGTTGGAACATACGCTTTTTCCTAGTGAAGAGGGTTTAGATTCTGAAGAAAGTATCACAGTATTAAATGCTTAATTCTGAATTTAATGCCCTAGCATGAGGATATCACATCCACATTCTGTTGGGGTGAATCTGAGAGACTGTTGTGGGAAAAGGACTGAAGGAACAAAACAGGATTTGAGGAAATGTTTCCTCTCTGCTGACTTTTCTCTACTGCCTTTAACCCACTTTTGTTTTCCGTTTCTGTACAGACCATAGTTTTTTTGGGTCAGAATGGCAGAAGCGATGGTGTGTCCTCAACAGAAAGATCTTTTACTACTATGCCAATGAAAAAAGTAAGTGTGCAAGCATCTGCATGTGTTCTTCAAGCAGCACCTAGTGGCTGGGAGCACAAATAGGCTTCAAGGGTAAGAGCAGAGCTCTTGTTCAGGGAAGTACTAGCATCTCAGTAGGGGGAGGCAGGGGAGAAATGCAAATCAGTTTACTTTCTGAAGTCATTGGAGTTTCAGGAGCCACAGCAAACTATTCCTTCCTTAGTATGGTATATAAAATCCTGTACCTCTCTTTTTATTACATTATCATTTAGCATCTTAGGGCATTTGTAGATGATGCAGGGGTTGAATTCTCCCCAAATTAAAGCAGTGGTTTTTTTTAAAAACACCGCTTCAGTTTAGAGCAAAGTAAACCCCCGTGTTGTGTACACCTGCGTCAGAGCCCAATCCTTACCTGCCTCTCCAGCGGCAGGGAGGGGAGAGCGAGCTGCTGGTGGGCAGAACAGTCCCTGAGCTGCGGGGGTGGGGGCTGGTGCTTCCCTTCATGACAGCAGTGGGCCCCCACCCCCAGGTGGCACAGCCCCCTAGGCACCTGGCTCGGGCAGTCCTGGGGGGCACCGCAGCCATGGAGGGAAGCACTGGACTCCCACACAACTCAGGTAGGCAGGCAGGCTCCGGGGGGGTGGGGAATCAGGCTCACCACTTTTTTTTTTTCTTTTCCTTCTGTGCCTGCGTGGTCTGCCTTCACAGCCCTTGAGCTGCACAGAGCCTGGTGCTTCCCTCTGCAGCTGTAGGGCAGGAAACTAAAACTCCTCAGAGGTGTTTTACTTTGCAGTGCCCCAAAGTCATTTGATGTATCCCAGTAATTTAAGGCACGTTACGCCACCAAACGTGCTACAGTGGCCAGAATTAACATGCAATACGCTGCCAAATGTGCAAACAGCAATACCATTAAAGTGGTGCAAAAGGCATTTAACCTGCTTTAAACCCGCTAAAAAGTGTTTACAAATGACCTTAACAGTAGGCAAGAGAGATAAAGGGTGGGGAAGAAATACAGGTACAGAGCAAGAAGGAGCTCATCAAACAAGCCAGTGATGGAGCTGAGAATAGACCCCTCCCTGTCTGCTTGGGACTGTGTTGCTAAACTTGAATTTGTTTCGGTAAGACTTAGCGCCCTTGTGACTGCAAATGGATCACTGCTGGCTTCTCAAAATAAGCAGGTTGGCTGAAAGATCTTATATGCAGGTATCTGATAGGTCTGTGCGAAGCGGCTAGTATTCGCTTTGGATTCAGATATGGCCAGTTCGGGGGACAGTGATTCCATTTGGTGATTCGGATCGCTGTCCTGATTCGATTCGGCTGAATCAGCCAGACCCATCCCCTGCCCTTCTTCCAGCCCAGCAATGGCTGCCCTGCCTGCCCCAGCTCCCAGCACTTGGGGGGGGAAAAAGCCCCACCTCAGCAGGTGCTGCTGGGTGGGGGGCAATCCCCACTGCCCCATGCTGCATGGGGGGCTCTGCACAAGCCCCCCCCTGCTCCCCCAGCCCCCTCATGGCCCTTTAAGGAAAAAAAACGTCTGAAGAAAGCCCGGGACTCACCACTTCTGCCCGTGGGGGGGCAATCCCCGCTGCCCCTTACCATGTGGCTGCCCTGAGGCTGCACCAGGAACAGAGACTCCTGGGGCTTTTCTCAGCTTTTTTTTTTTTCTTCTTAAAGGGCCGGAGCCCTGGCAGGCAGGGCAGCCGTGAGGGGGCTGGGGGAGAAAGGGGGGTTGAGGGGTCTCATGTAGAGCCCCCCATGCACCCGGGGGGGCAGTGAGGATCACCCCCCACCTGGCAGAACCCACTGAGCACCGGGGTTTCTTTTTAAATTACTGAGCTGGTGTGGATAGGGGCAGCCATGGGAGGGCTAGGGGAGTGGGCAGGGGTCGGGGGGGCTGGCAGGGGTCCCCCCATGGTCCCCTCCCCCACCCCTAGTACTTACCAGCTCAGAGTGCCTGCAGCTCCCTGCTGCAGCCACCAGGGACTGCCCAAATCATCAAAGCTCTCTGAATCTTTGCCAAAGATTCAGAGAACTTTGAATTGATTCAGATCTTTAAATTGGACCCCTGGTTGGATTCAGGTTCGGAGATTCGGCCACTGAATCAGGCTGAATCTCCTCCAAATCGAATCACCACCCAAAGTTTCACACAGCCCTAGTATCTGACACATTCTGGATTTAGGATTGTGAAAACATGGGATCCGTTAGACCAAAGCAGTTCTAGCCAGTGCTACATGCTTCAAAGAGAAGTGCAAGTGACCCTGAAATGGGCAATTATGGAACAGCGGTAGGGCAAGGGAATCAAACATTCAGATCTGGCCCATGGAGCCACTCTCTTAAGCCTCCTGAACTATCAGCATAGCCAGGGAGAGTGGCCTGCCACAGAATCTAGGCTCTTGAGCCCCAGTGGATATGGTTACTGGTGGCAGGAGGGCAAGAGAGGGCTGATGCAACATGGTTTGCCCTCTGGCCATTTTGACTATTCACACTGCCATGGCCCCACCTCTTCAGCTGCCAGTCCCCACCATGTGCCCTGTGCTGGAGTTGAAACTGCTGCTCTGGTACAGTGCATGCAGTGGCTACAGCTACAGTGCACGCAGTGGCTACAGCTCTGGCTCTGGCTAGGGGCACATGGCGGGGGCTGGAGTGCTATAGCCTTGTACCCTGGGTCAGAGCTGGAGCTGCCACCACCACTGCAGATTCCTCATACCCTGAGCTGAATCCAGGCCCTCAGTACAAGGTGAGTTGGACACTAGGGCTGTGCAAAGCTTTGGGTGCTGATTCAGTTAGCAGGAGATTCGGCCCAATTCAGTGGCCGAATCTCCAAATCCGAATTGAATCAGGGGACCAATTTAAAGGTCCGAATCGATGCCAAAGATTCAGAGAGCGTTGAAAAGATTCAGAGAGCTTTGATGATTTGGGCTGTCCCTGCTGCAGCCACTCCCCACTGCAGCCACTCCGAGCTGATAAGTACTAGGGGCAGGGGAGGAGGAGCTGGGGGAGGGGACCACGCTGGGGACCCCTGCCAGCCTCCCCAACCCCTGCCCACTCCCCCAGCCCCGCC